TGTTAATCTGTTGTTGTTTCCCACCTCGATCTATGGGGACAGGCAGATAGGAAGCAACAACACTTTCAGAATTAGGGCACCACTTCTAAAAAAGGCTTTTGTCCTAGTGACCAGGTGTCCAACTTCTTTGAACAGAAACACCTGAGGAAGGCTGCAGGTGATGATTTTAAGGACTGGACAAGTAAATATGGGAAGAGGCAATCCTAGTCTAGGTCTTGGCCATGCTGGCTGGGGGATTCTGGAGGGCTTGTCCAGCAGTAACTTTTGAAAGCTCAGGTTTTTAGGACCTTTACAGACTACAAGAAATAGTGCTAATTGAGGCCACTTTAACTGTCCTGGCTCAGTGCTAAGGAATCATGGGAGCTGTAGTTTATTGTGGCACCAGAGCTCTCTGACAGAGAAGGCTCAATGCCCCAGAAAAAAATACAATTCCCATGATTCCCTAGCACTGAGCCAGGACAGTTAAAGTGGCCTCAATTTGCACTATTTCTGGTAGTCTGAGGGCCTTTGCAGACTGCCAGAAATAGTGCAAATTGAGTCCACTTTAAGGGTTAGGGTTAGGGAATCATGGGAACTGTACTTTATTGTGGCACCAGAGCTCTCTGACAGAGAAGGCTCAATGTCTCAGAAAAAAAACAATTCCCATGATTCCCTAGCACTAACCCTAACCCTTAAAGTGGACTCAATTTGCACTATTTCTGGCAGTCTGCAAAGGTTGTGAGTCTACTCTTGCCATTGGCTAGGTTAGATATTCTATGGTATATGTGTATTCTCTGTACTGTATTATTATTTTGTATTTTTATTTTGAATGGTAAAGCCACTGTGGAAAAGTTTATTTGAAGGGTGTAGTACAGATCTCTTGAGTAATATTAGGCCTCATTCCCTACTCCACAATCACTAATGGAAAATGATGGGGATAACTTTGAGGGGAAATAACCCAATTTCTCAGCCCTGACTTGCCACTATTCCTGCAGCTGCTTTTGTGGGGGGGGGGGGGGGAAGGCCCCTTTCGGGAGTTATGTCTGAATAGGGTTCATAAACACAGGTCCAAAGCACACACTGCAGAAATAATCCAATTTGAGACCCCTTTAACTGCCCTGGCTCAGTGCTAGGGAATCCTGGGAATTATAGTTTATTGTGGCACCAGAGCTCTCTGACAGAGAAGACTAAATGTCTCATAAAACTACAGTTCCCAGAATTCCCAGCCTTGAGCCAGGGCAGTTAAAGCCTTGTCAAATTAGATTATTTCTGCTGTGTGTTTTGGATCACAGATAAATGGGATGGGGACACACATCAACAATGCAGCGTTCCTCTTGGGAATTGTGAAAAAGGAGAAGAATTCACCCTCAAGCGGAGCTCAGAAAAGTACTTATTTGAACTGCAACTATAAGAATCTACAAATCAGCATGAACATTCGGTGTGCTGGCTGGAGATTCTAGGACAGGGGTAGGCAACCTTTCCCCTTTAAGGGCTGAGGGACTTCAGCTCCCAGAATCCCAGGAGCTATTGGCCAACATGGGACTATTGGCCAACATGGCTGAGGCTTCTGGGAGCTGAAGTCCCTCGGCTCTTAAAGGGGAAAGGTTGCCTACCCCTGTTCTAGGAAGTGTAGTCCAAATAAGTAACTTTTCAAAATGTTAAACCTGGCGACAAACTATTTAAAAGTTAATATTTAATAATATAACTCACCTGCATATGCAGGTATGCTATATAAACCAAGAGTTCAAACACTTCCAACAACTTTTTCTCAGGCCTTTACAGAGCTTGGAGAAGTTCTGTTTTTGGACTATAGCTCTGAGCATCCTTCAACTAGCAACAGCATTGTCCTTGCTGTTTGTTTGATTCACACCTTAGACTAAAAGGTAACTTTTCAAGCTCTATGCTTTTCTCAGATTGAAGCCTGGTAAAGAAAGTCCCATAGCTGGGTGGTGGATTACATGATAACATAAAGGTCCAGCCTTCTTCCAGTTAAAAGGACTAAAGCTGGCAAGGTTGGAAAAGATACCGCTTTACTCCTCCTGAGATACTAAAGGGCTACTGCCGGTCACTACTGGGCTAAATGGCTCGACTCAGTGTAAGGGAATTTTGTACATCCACCCTATTAGATCCATAGACTGCTTTCCATTTGGCCTCCAAGGACCACAGTTCAGAGAAGCTCATTTGGACTACCACAGTGGCCTTTGCTCTGTCTCTGATCCTTAAATGGTTTTGCAGTTAGGCTGTTAAACCAAAGTCCAACATCAAGTGACTATTCAAAAGGAGGGGAATCAATAGGATCTCCATCAAGTCCAAGAGGACCGCACCCTTGAGCTGATGTTCAGAAAGAAGACCCTGCTTTCCCCTCCATTGTTCACTGGGCCACACATTCATATTTTACAGGAAAAAGATAGAAAAGACTTTATTTAGAAGGAGAAGCTATCAGATGTAGAACCCCCCAGAAAAAGACAAGACCACTTCATTGAAATTAAAAAAAAAATCCAAACTTTATTGAATTGTAAACAAAAGTTCATATTTTTCCATGCCATACATCAAAAGTTGAAGTCAGTTGAGACTCTTGGGTGCTTTGACAAGAAGGGATGGTACAGAAAGGAACCAATAGGGGCAAACCTCACAGAGGGATGCTGCCAAGTTGCCAGACCAAAGATACGGGAGTGCTGGGAGTTGTCTGCATCTGAGCAGCTTTAACAGCTACTGTGTGCTATCAAATGGTGATGTCCCTAGAGCAAACCCCATAGGCCCAAGAAAACTGTTCTTTAAGATACTCAGCAGAGTTCTAACTTGTGCACCAGATTCCCCTGCAAGTGACTTTCACCTTCAGGTTTCACTTTTCCCATCAGAAACCTCACAGTGTAGTAACATTAACAGTGTAGTAACATTAAAAAACGTCATGCTAGTTTAAACCCCATTGCTTAGTCAGAGAAAGAGGGAGAGAATGCTTCTAGTACACATGATGAAAACAACCACCCTTTTTGTCCTCAGCATCTGATGATCAGAGGTATGCTCTTAGGAAGTTGGAAGATGCATTGTCAACTCGTAAGTTGTCGTTAACAGGCCTATCTGCCAATTAGTTTCCGGGCACAGTACAAGGTGTTGGTTTTGACCTT